CCTTTAAAATAGATTCATTTTGGCACAGGAAACCTTTTTTGGTGAGTGTTTTTGCCATATACCCAGCTAAAACCAACAATGAGTGTTACAGTTCCTTATAATCTAACCAAAGCATCAGCTTTTGTGGACTGCAGCTTTCTTCTTCAGATGCATTCAGACAAGATTATGCCAAATCCAACTACAGTGGTGCCTCGCTTAGCAATATTAATCGGTGCAGCAAAAATTGCTGCTAACCGAAAACATCGCTAAGCGATTTTAAAAAGCCCATAGGAATGCAGTGAAACCCCTTCAATGTGTTCCTATGGGCTTAAAACTTACCTTTAAGCGAAAATCCTCCATACAGCGGCCATTTTCGCTGCCCGGTATGCGAGGAATTCGTCCCTAAACACAGCGGGCGGCCATGTTTTTTCCGGTGGCCATTTTGGAACCGCCAATCAGCTGTAGGAAAAAGATCACTATGCGATAATTGCTAAGCAAAACAGCTTACCGATCATCGCAAAGCGATTTTTTCCTATTTAGCAAAATCTTCATCAGTAAGCGGTTCGTCGTTCTTTTTCGATCGCAAAATCTTCATCACTAAGCGGTTCGTCGTTCAACGGGGCGCTCGTTAAGCGAGGCACCACTGTACTGATATCACTCGTTCTTCACAAGCCTTGCTACTGAGGGAGACCACCCCAAGAGAGGCTGTAGCGTTCACCCTTATTATGTTAAGTAGTCATGTATATTCATGTTGCAGGCTAATGTTGCTGAGAGGCAGAGCCGAGAGATATGTAAAGGAGGCGGAGTCAGAGAGTGAGAGTCAGTCAGAGTCAGTGAGTCAGAGAGTGTGGAGAGATAGAGTGTGGTATTTGGGAGATCTGAGGTGTAATTAGAGTGAAGAGTGAATCAGAACTGTTATGACAAATAGAAGCTTGAGATTGATGATTAATAAACCTGTAGAAGTTACCTATGATTAGTAATCAAATATCTGTAATCAGTAAACAAGTTTTGGACCTTCATCTTCATCTTTCCATAATTAATGTTGATTTAGTGATCAACTGGTGGCAGCGGGTGAAAAGGAATAGTAGTTCGCCTTCGTGTGCTCTGTGTTTGGAGAGTCAGGCAGGGGCATGAGGTGCGAATGCCACAGAGGCAAGGAAGGTCTCTAAAAGGAATTGGGCATTCTCAGTGGTGGCCCTATCTCTATGGAACAAATTGCCATCAGAGGTGCGCCAGGCCTGTTTCCTCCAAGCATTCAGAAAGTTACCTAAGGCAGAACTCTTCAAAACTGCCTTTAAGAGTAGAGATGGGGGTATTCATATTCTTACACAAATTCGAATACCTCCACACAGGTGGACATAACAAGGGTCCAGCCCCCTGGGGCCAGATTGTCCACTCCCCCTTCCGCTGCTGCTGCTGCGGGCTCCACACTCCCTTCCTATCACTCCGGAGCTCGCAGCCAACTAGCCACTCCTGGCAGGTGGAGTGACGAGCCTCTCTGCCAGGTCGAAGAGCCGGTTCACTGACCGGGTGCTACAGAGTGAAAGGAAGGGAGTGTGGAGCCTGTGGCAGCAGTGGAAGGGTGATTGGACAGTCCGGTCCCAGATCCTTGTCACGTCCACCTGTGCGGGGAGTATTCGTATAGGAATACCCCATCTCTAGTATACTGCCATAAGAAAAGATAACTGTAACACATGATTTCACTCTTTCCTCTTTCTCTCCTAGTGGTCCCCATTGTCCTATTTCTTTTTTGGCATTGATAGGGTGGCTTGTTGTTAATACTTCCTTTATTATGCTGTTTGTTCTTTTTTTTCTTTGTTGATGGATGGGAGTTGGGGTTTGTTTGTTCTATTATGTAACCACTCAAAGAAGTATTCATCACTAATCAGCTCCACACTAAATAAAATGAATGAATGAATGAGTGAGTGAATGAGTGAATGAATGAATGAATGCATGAATGAATGAATACATAAGTACGTATGTAAAGGTAAAGGTTCCCCTTGACAATTTTTGTCCAGTCATGTTCGACTCTAGGGGGTGGTGCTCATCCCCGTTTCCAAGCCATAGAGCCAGCGTTTTGTCTGAAGACAATCTTCTGTGGTCACATGGCCAGTGCGACTTAGACACGGAACGCTGTTACCTTCCCACCGAAATGGTCCCTATTTATCTTCTTGCATTTGCATGCTTTCGAACCGCTAGGTTGGTGGGAGCTGGGACAAAACAACGGGAGCTCACTCCATTGCATGGATTCGATCTTACGACTGCTTGGTCTTCTGACCCTGCAGCATAGGCTTCTGCGGTTTAGCCCGCAGCGCCACCACGTCCCCATATAAGTACGTATGTAGATACATATTATACATCTTGTTACTCTTTAAGCTGCTACAAGATTCTTTGCTGGTTTAGCTGCAACAGATTGTAGACTAACATGGCTTCTGGAGATTTCTGGCCAGAGTTTTTGCTTCCTGGCTTTAATTCGGTGCTTCCTCTAGGACCATGGTTCCCAATCTTGAGACCCCAGGTGTTCTTGGACTAAAACATGCAGAAGCCTTCACCACGAGCTCTGCTGGCCAGGATTTCTGAGAGCAGTCAAAGAACACTCAGAGACCCAAGGTTGAAAACCAGTGCTCTAGGATGGACACATGTTGGAAAAAAAAAACCTTTACCACGAGCTCTGCTGGCCAGGATTTCTGAAAGCAGTCAAAGAACACTCAGGGACCCAAGGTTCTTTGTGCTCTAGGATGTGGAGAGTCCCCGTCTGGACACATGTTGAAAAAAAAAAAAACCTTCTTGTAAAATGACCCATCCTGGGTGTCCACACCCATCTGTGCAGAGTTAAGGAAAGTGGACATGCTGGCTAAGATATTCTAGGAAGTGTTGTCCAAAACAGAAACTTTTCCTATCTCTGCCAACATCAGGGTATTTTACAATGGCAAAATACTGTATGTTGCATCTAAGGATGTCTTACGATAAAGAAGCATGTAAACACTCACATAATCAGAAATAAAACACCCACAAGCCTCTGTTTTGGTGATGACGGCCCTCTTTGGCTAATTGAGGGGACTGAGCAGGAGGAACAGCCTTACTGATTAGATAAAATTAAGGCAACCATTTTGGGCCACGGCTGCTTACATATTGCCTACAAAAAGACCAAGAAGCCAACTTGCTGCCTGGTGGTGCAGTACAAGGATGCTGTCTAGAGATGAGCACAAAATTCCAGTGCAGCAGTTTGTGCCCGTTCATTTAGTTCTTTTAGTGAACAGGTGTTTGACATTTCACAGCCTCGCCTCCTCCAGCGGACACCCTCTCAGATGCAGCAGCCCAGCTTCCCTGCCCTGCCTCCTCTGGGCACTGCCCATGAGTGAGCGCCCACCAGAGGAGGCGAGGCTTTGAAGTACTGAATCCTTGTTCAGCCACTAAATGAACCAGAACAAACTGCCCAAAGTGGCAGTTCGTCCCCATCTCTAATGCTGTCCCGTCGTCAGCACTGCTGTCATAAGATTCAACTGCCATTCCACTCAGCTTTTGTATATAGAGTGGGGTGGGGGAGACCTCAGGCAGCGCAGTATCTTGGGCGGAATCTGTAAATCACAGTTATTCCATGGTGCCAAACTGATCTTGTTCTTTGCTGCTCTGGCGTTCTCAAGAGGGAAATGGGGCCTTTCTGCAAGGCCAGAATTAGATTCCTCTCCCCTTTCTTTCCCTTGTCCTTATTATAACGAGCCTTTGCTGAGCATCAGCAGACACGGTTATTAAGGGTACTGTGTACTGAACTCAAATTTCACCATCTGTTCCACTTCCCTTTTTATTCTCTGGCATCTTGTAAAATATGAGACTCGTACAGGAAATAATGAAAAGGAGCCAACCTGATTGTAGTGAGGGGAGCGTTCTCGGCTGATTTCCTACCCCTCAGCGATTAAGTAGGAAAAAAGCCCATGCCTTGCTTCAGAAGATAACTGAAGAAACCCAAATGTTGCATGGCCTGAAGTCAGCAAATATAGGCAAACAAAAAGCAGCATTTTAGTTATGAGGAAACAGTGCAGAAATTCACACTTTACTGTAACAGAATACCAACCAAAACCAGCCATTTCTGTCCAGCAACCACCAAGTTCCTGTCTGGCATGCAGATAATTTGGAAAATTTGTAACCTGGGGTTGGAAATCACTGAATTAATACTTAAAGCAACTATGTTCTCCCTCGAGTAAACTGAGGCTGAGAAGCTGTCTGGAAAAAAATTATTTTATAACACTGAGTCTTTTCTTAGAGATTTAATGTCTGGCAAATTGTCACACCCAGGTAAGTTCCAGTCTCTTGGCTCAGGGAAGCCATTTTTAGAAAAATAGTACCTAGAAACCTCAACTTCTTACTTTCACAACCTCTTTTCCATCCAAGCCTCCCTGGAAGCACTGATGGTTGACAAACTTTATGGAATTACTGTGCTTGCTGAGGTCTTCAGGTTTGTGTGTGAGAGAGACAGGGGGTGGTGGTGGGAATCTAAGGGCAAGAGAACCTGGAGGAAGGGTAATTTTAATTGAGTGATGAGGAAATGGCTTTGAAGCCTGGAAATTATCTTTACCTATTTATTCCCTGTAGGAATCAGGGCTTGATTTGGCACTGGGAAGAAACCTTCCATTTGTTATTTCTTCACCAAGGTCTAGAAACCTGTGTCCCTCCAACCACTGTTAGGCACCTCCTCCTGTCTTCCCTGGCCAGTATTGCTAAGGTTCACATGACGGGAGCTGTAAGATTTATGAAGAGGTCGAAGCTTGAAAGCATTACTTCTTAAAAGTATCTCCCAGACTCTCACAAACCAATGTGTCCCTTATCCATCCTGGCTGGAGACCTTTGGGAATTATGGTTCTAAAAAAGTAACCTTTTCCAAGCTCTTTAAGGTGCCACAGGTTCCTATCCCCTGGTTTCTGTTCTCTCCGCTTTCCCTGCCTGGAGAAAACCTGGTGGAAAATGTACAGTATGTCTGTAAGAGTTACCTATCACTAATATCTCTTTCCGCTTGTGCCTTCCAGGGAAAACCATCTAGAACCTGTTCTTTCTTACGTCGGGTCTGCTGGACAGCTTTACCTCTCCAGCTCCTCCTGTTGTTCTTACTCCTCCTCGCCTTTCTGCTCCCTCTCGTGGAGGAAACTCACAGCTGCAAGCTGGCCAACAATTTTGCACGCTCCTTCAACCTGATGCTTAGATACCAGGGCCCACCACCAACTTAAGTCCTCAAAACCAGCAGTGCACCCGAGATGACAAGTGGCTTTTCTCTGGGGCGTGTCAGCTTCTGCAGGCCCTCCTGGAATCCAGGACAGCTAAGTAAGGGACCCATGTAAACTGGAAATATAGTCCAAGAACCTCTGTTGTCCATTGTATGCTCAGGCTATTAAAATGAAGTATTCTTATTTAGAGCTAAAAATATATATTTTTAAATATATGGCTATATTTATACTGTATATATATGGTTTTTATATCTATGCATATGTCTCAATGAAACATGTCCCAAAATCAGTGTTCTCAATTTAATCCTGCCATTTTTATTTTTGTTTTTATTTCTTGCCTTTGTCTGTTTTGTTGAGTTAACAGTAGATGATTCAACTAAGCACAAAAAAATTAACAAAGGGCATAGTGAGATGTGATGAAAAACTGTAGGGTTATCCTTCCAACAGCAACCATATGTCTGGTTCCTGTTCTTGTATCTACAGTCATGTGAAAAATAATGTACATCCTCTTTGAATTCTATGGTTTTACATATCATGACATAATAATAATTATGTCTTGGGAAAAAAATTATTTCTTTTTATTAATGCTAATTACTTTATGTGGTATGTTATATGTTTAATTGTTTTATAGAGTGTGTTGTAAGCCACCTAGAGTGGTCACATTTGACAAGATAGGCGGGGTATAAATGAAATAAATAAATAAAATAAATACTAGTACTTGCACCTTGAATCTGGTACAGTAATAAGGAACCATGTTTTTTTTAAATGTGAAAAGAGCCTCAAAATGGGGTAATAAAAGGCAAACATCTTTTTTTCTGATTTTTTTCCATGTACAAGTGCTTTGTGATCAAGAGTTAATGATGGAAAGTAGCATATGAACACCTCACCTATAACCTTTTCATGACAGAGCACTCCTTAGTCTCCTTCATTCCATATAGGAGCTTCAGACCCATGTCCCTGAAGGTCAACAGCACTTTAAGGATCTCCTGGGTCTTTGACCCATTGTTAAGAGCTCTGAGGAAAATAAATCATGACACAGTGTAATAAATATGTCATTTTTTGCTGTTCATCTGAGGTTGTATTTACCTAATTTTCAAACCTGTTAAGGACCAGATGATTTTTATTATGTAAAACCATAAAATTCAAAGAGGAGTACTTTCTTTTTCACAGGATTATATAAATGGACATTTACAAAAAACAAAAACAAAAAAAAACCACCACAACAAAAACAGCTAGGGCTTTTCACCTGGTTTAAAAATAATCATAATTGATTAATTCATCTCTGTGGTGCATGCATTTGAATTTCAGTAAAAATGGTACCATATTTGTCCATGTATAAGACTATACTTTTGTCTAAAATCTTTAGACTAAAAATCGAGGGTCATCTTATACGTGGAAGTAAGCTGAGGTGAGAACAAAAACAAGTGGAAGGGAAAGCAGGGATCAAAGCGATCCTGCAGCGCTTTGGTCCCTTTCCCCTACACTTGCTAAGCCCCACTTAGATTTCTTAATTTTGAATTAGAAAAGGGGGGGCATGTTATACATGGGGACATCTTATACACAGAAAGATACGGTATTTCTAAAGCTTAAATCATACACTTTGTATCTTAAGCAGGACTGGAGAACCTTGTAGATGCTGGGTTACATTCCCATTATCCTTATCCATTGGTCATAATGTCATAATGGTTGGGGCAGATGGGAGTTAGAGTCTTGACATCGTCTAGAAGATCATAGATTCCTCAGTCCTGTGCTTCCTTGACAGGGGCAGGCCTTGATAAGCCATAGGGTCCCTTTGAACTTTGCAGCTTTAAGAGGATGCACCCAAATTAGACCAGGCATCAACTCCTTTGTGACTGGAAAGGGGAAAGGCTTCTTTTGAGTTGATTCTTGCCTTCAGTAGTCTAGATCAGTATATCCATTAAAATAATTTCTTTTGTAAACATCTGCCAGCCATGTAATCATAGATATTTTTAGTTCATCAGACATTTTTAATTCATTCATCTAAGTTGTAAATGTTCTAAAGACTGTAACCCCGTTGCAAACTTGCTTTGTATTTATTAAGTGTTGGTGAGATGGTAGCATCACATTGTATTGGGTTTTCATAATTACTCCCTGGGGAGGAGAAGAGTAACTCAACCCAGGGTTGAGCATGGCCAGCATGACTTTCTGATCACATCAGACTTCATTCAGAGCATGAGAAGATGAAAGGTTATCCATAGAATTTCTTAGGCAATGGTAGATGAAAGCTATTTTTAAGTCAGCAGCTATTTGCAGGGTCTTAATTTTTTTATTGCTATATTTCTCCTGTGTATTAAAGGTGATCAAGGTACAGCAAAAACAAAATTGACAATAGGTGAATGTATAGAAATTAGAGATAGAAGCATTACCAGTCAGCAGAAAGGAACCTTACAGCCTCTCATTCCTGGTGTGTATTTAAGTACTGTACACAGTACTTAAATACTTAAGTATATTTTTCCGTGTATAAGACTATATTTTTGTGTAAAATCTTTAGACTAAAAATTGAGGGTCGTCTTATACACGGAAGGAAAGCTGAGGAAAGAACAAAAATAAGTGGAGGGAAAAACAGGGATCAAAGTGATCCTGCAGGGCTTTGATCCCTGCTTTCTCCTCCACTTGCTAAGCCCCACTTAGATTTCTTAATTTTGGGTTAGAAAGGGGGGGCATCTTATACACGGAAAAAATACAGTGATTATGCTGGTGGGTAAGTGTGTAAGGGAGACAAAGTGCAGAAAAAAAGTGGGGGCATCTTATACACGGAAAAAATGCAGCGATTATGCTGGTGGGCAAGTGTATAAGGGAGACAAAGTGCAGATTTTGAATCAAATCCAGGAAATTATGTTGGCCCCAGCTTCATGTATTTTATACTGGAAGTAGGCAGAGTGGGTCATATAGTGTTTTTAAGACTTCCATCACCTATTTGACTGGAAATGTAGAAACAGCGTTCTCATGTCTGATGATTAAGCAACAGAAATGTGTAGTTATTCATTGCTTTCTCCTCATCGCATAGGGAAAGGCTTGCTGAATCAGACCAAAGCCCTAACAATATGAAGGAGGAAGGGGAAAAATTAGAGGTATCTAATTAGTCCTCATTAGTGTGTTTTATCTGTTTATTATTTATTTATTGACTTTATATCCCATATTTCTCCTAAAAAATGGGACTCAAAGAGGTTTATGCGACGACTGAATTTAAAAATAAAGTCAAAATACAAAACATGTTTAACTATTAAAACACAATTTAAAATACATTCCAAAATGGGAGAAAAGTGTTGCCCTGTTGTAGTCCAAATAGTGTTCACATACATTTGGATCTCCTGATAAAGAGAAAAGAGCAGCTACAGCTCCCAAACCCACTCCCCTCTTTTTGTGGCCCCGCGGCTGAACTTCAAGAGCACCTCATTATTTAAAACATACTTGAATGTTGTGTGGGCTTTGAGGGTGAAATTTTAGCCAAACTGTGAACCTGTAAAAAATGTTTTGTGATATTTAGGATAGAGCTTGGGGAAGTTATTATTTTGGCCCATAACTCCCAGAATCCTGCAATCTGCACCGCCGGTGGTCATGTTGGCAGGAAGGTTCTGAAAACTATAGCTAATAATACAGAAATGTCCCCACGCTTGATACCAGGAGATGACATAAAACAGGTGCTTTCTGGAGCATTTTTGCAGGCCTCTACACCTCCCCACTCAGCCCTTGGAAGCATCCAACCAAAGGGCCATGAACAAATAGAGAAGGAAAGGAGGAATGGAAGTCTAAATTTGGTGAATACATATTAATGAGATAATTATCCCCCTCAAAACTGCAAATTGTGTGTGAACTTTGCAAGAGGTCATGATAGCTACAATACTAACAGCCTGATCTGTGTGTCAGATTACTTTAGAAGCAGGTGATAATGTTTATCTCCATGCTGGGAAATGCTTCACCTGCTTATTTCTGAGATTGAAGTAGAAGCCAGAATCCTGTTGCTTAGTCTCATACCCTGTTTCCCCAAAAATAACTCCTTACCTGAAAATAAGCCCTAGTATGATTTTTCAGGTTGCTTGTAATATAAGCCCTACCCCAAAAATAAGCCCTAGGTAAGTGAAACCCCGCCCTCCACCATTGTGCAGCAACCAGAAGATGCCATGACTATATTTGAATGAAGGTAGATTGTTTGTACATGCAGAAGATGACATGACTGCATTTGAATGAAGGTAGATGTTTGTACATGAAAAAAAATCCCCTGAAAATAAGCCCTAGTGCGTTTTTTGGAGCAAAAATTAATATAAGACCCTGTCTTATTTTCGGGGAAACATGGTATATTGCACTAGAGTAGGCCCATTGAATCAACAGGGATTTAGTCAGTCAGCTCCTCTTTAAATTTCATTGATTCAAATAAGCCTTCTCTAACATAGTAAGTTGCAGTTAGAGTAGGCCTAGTTGAATCAATGGAACATATGGAGGATGTGACTCACCAAATCCTATTAAGCAGACCTACTCTAGTGCAATTTACTATGCTAAACAACAGGCTTTTGGTTAGAGAATTAAAAACACAAGAACAGGCTGATTTGGAGCCATTTTAAAAGGGTGGCGGAGGGAGAAAGAGGGTTATTTTACCTTCCATATTTCAGGTGACAGCTGATTTCTTCCTCAGGAGTGCCCATACAGTTAATACGATGCAAAATAATGACAAATGCAACCAATAAAATAAATGCCCTTTCAGTGCCTAGCTCTTTTCAGTTTGATCTTGGACACATAATGCGGAGAAAAGATGACAAGGCTGGCACTTCAGCCAGCACTGGAAGCAAGAAAGAGTCCTCCCTCTTATCTGAGGGCAGCCTGCTGGTTTAGGCTGTAGAGCCTATACAACACTTACCCCAAGAGAGGAGAGACTGGGGGGGGGGTAGAACCTCGGTAAAGAGGAGGATGTGACTCACCAAATCCTATTAAGTAGACCTACTCTAGTGCAATTAAAATTAAAATAAGGGGCTTTCACTACTGGCCCCTCCCACTTGCCACCCAAGGCAGCTGATTCACTCTGTCTAATGGCAGAGGACATCTCAGCCTCATGTTATAGGTCATCTCTTCTTTACTGAAACTTCAAATAGGCAACTTTGATCAATCCTCTGTATAGTTTTACCTCTTGTCAAGCAGCAAAATATCGTGCTAACCTGAGTATGGGAGACGTGACTGTCGTAGGGTTTTAGAGCATGGAGTGATCATAGGAGGCATAACAAGACATTCTTTCCATGCACATAGGTCAGGGCAGAATAACCACAACCTCACGTTAGCATTTCAATGGCATGTTAATTTTTTTAAAAAAATATATTAGGAAAGCTAAATTTGAAACACATTGCCCCACCCCCTCTGTCTCAGTACTCACAATCTTTTGAAGATTGCAGCAAAACCAAAATCTCCATTCTAACCAGCCATCGTAAGTCAATAAATGGAACTTTTCAATCTTCCCTGAATATAATTGATAAAGAAATGTTACACATCACAACATTCCTACAACACACAGTGAAGATGCTCAGGACAGAAGGAAATGATAGATACAAAGGAAAGAACTAGTTTTCTCCATGTCCAGCTACATTGATTTGCAGTTCTAATTCTTGGGTGAGGTATTGCAACAAACACTTGTACTTTTTCCCACCACTCTTTACTCTGCTCTAAAGTCACAGAACAGAATCGTCATAGAATCATAGAATAGTGAAGTTGGAAGGGGCCTATAAGGACACCAAAACCAACCCCTTGCTCAATGCAGCAATAGAAATCATAGGATATCTACCAGGTGGTTTTCTAAGTTTCTCTTGAATGCCTCCAGTATTGGAGCACTCACCACCTCTTGAGGTAACTGGTTCCACTCTCTTACTGCTCTAACAGTTAGGAAGTTTTTCCTGATATTCAACTGAAATCTGGCTTTCTTTAACTTGAGCCCATTGTTGCTTGTCCTGCACTCTGGGATGATCGAAAACAGTCACCCCAGATGTGTACACATATCCCAGATCCAGTTTATATTTTCACATTTGTCCTAATACACTTCACATCTCTAATTAAAACTATAGTATGGTATTAAAATGAAACTACCTGAGCCAAAGACCTACCTCTAAGAGAGAAGTTAAGA